GCTTGAGCCCAGGAGTTTGAGGTTGCTGTGAGCTAGGCTGACACCATGGCACTCACTCTAGCCTGGGCAACACAGTGAGACTCTGTCTCAAAAAAAGAAAAAAAAAAAAAATAGTTTTTTTCCATTTATCAAATTTCTCGACTAATTTTTTTCAGGATTTAGGAAAGCATATTTCCCAAGAAATGCTAGGAAGGAATTCCTGCATGAAAATACCACTTAGTCTTTTATCAATTATTAAGATCTGGAAGTTTCCTACCTTTGTGAATACAATGAAAAAGACAAGTTGCTGGCAGTCAGTGATGGCAATTACAAGATACCATTGATTGTAAGATGTTTCAGATATGTTAATGCAAAAGAAATCTGTATCCATCTTAGAGTAAAATCTAAAATATGCTATTTCTGTAACATTCACCCACCATATTTTGGAGCATCTACTATATGCTCAGTCAAGTTAACTTTCGTAGTTATAACTCCCTTAATCAAGTTACTCAATTTTCAAATGCTTGGAAAATACAATAACCACCTGGTACAGCAGACACTGTATTCAGTAATAAGTCACCTGCCTTTTTCTTTCTAAAAGAACCTCAACATTGTTCAGGTATTTTCTCTCTTCCACATGGCCATTTGGAACAAGTATGGTTGGGGAGTGGGAACAAAATGACTGGAATTGTCAATTTTCTTTGCCAGTGATTGATGAAATGTAAGAGGAAGTTGGAAGTTGTTGAGGTGCTCTCTGAGAGAGGTTTACCTGGTTGATAAACAGAGACACATAGAATAAAATAATTCTTTCCTACTCCCTGAATGTTGTTCTGACTCCATATCAAGTCTGAAACTGCAGCAACCATCTTACCATTCTCAGGGGAGCTAAGCCAACTCACTGAGAATAGGAGAGCAACATATTGGGTTAAAAAAAAAAGTTCTTGCCGGCCAAGGTGGCTCACGCCTGTAATCCTAGCTCTCTGGGAGGCCGAGGCGGGCGGATCGCTCGAGGTCAGGAGTTCGAAACCAGCCTGAGCAAGAGTGAGACCCCGTCTCTACTATAAATAGAAAGAAATTAATTGGCCAACTAATACATATAGAAAAAATTAGCCGGGCATGGTGGCGCATGCCTGTAGTCCCAGCTACTTGGGAGGCTGAGGCAGCAGGATTGCTTGAGCCCAGGAGTTTGAGGTTGCTGTGAGCTAGGCAGATGCCACGGCACTCACTCTAGCCTGGGCGACAAAGTGAGACTCTGTCTCAAAAAAAAAAAAAAAAAAAAAAAGTTCTTGATGACACTGAACAGCTAAATTTTCTAATCCTAAAACTGCCCTACTTAGGCGTGCCTTCTTGTTATTGGGAGACATCTTGTTCATATAAGAGAGTCCATTGTCCTTATTATTTAAGTCAGTTGATGTATTTTTTTTCAGTTGATGTACTTTTTGATAACTTTTGTTAAAAGCATCTTAATTGATTATTCTAAAAGAGATCAGCAATGGAAAACCATCAGAATTTTTATTCCTCTAAAACAGGCTGCCAGCAAGGGTTTTAATAGGCATGTCAAAGCTCTTTTCTGGGATGGGTGTTTGGAGTACTGGTGACTTAACTGAAAGGGGTCTGTGCCACCTCAGCAGGAATTAAGAGTAAAGTCTCCAGTTCTACACAGAAGAAACAAACTGTCCTACCTACCCAGGAGTTCTGTAGATTACTAATAAAAAAAAAAAAAAGTCAAGCTTTTCAGCAACAGGCCATTAAACAAGTTGTCCCCTATGTTCCCAGTTAAAAATGAAAATGCCCATTCACCATTGTCATGTCTAAGAAAAAAGTTATATTTTAATTGATGTTTAAGAGCAATCGTGAGAACACTTTAGTAATCCCAAAATTCCTAGCCAGTACCACAGACAGTGACTTAAAAGTTCTTGAGAATGACTTCCCTCTGAGAAAGACATAATATCTTCTCTATGTGTATTCAACTAAAATAAAGAGCCTTGTTTCTACTAAGCACAGATACAAATCCACTCGTTTACCAAGGCTTACAGGTAGTTGTGAAAAATAAAGTTTTCCTGAGAACTGGCTGATGATAGAACATTATCCAGCACTGTGAGCAAGGTCCCATTCTCCTCTACAAACAAAGCCGATTCCAAGGAACACAGAGCTCCTTTTGTCTATTGTACTCTCTTCTCTGAGCCTCATTAGTTAGTGTCCTTCTCATGGCCTATCCTGGGACTCTGGGGGTAAACAAACAGTTTAGGTATCAACAAACTGCAAGGGTGTACTTGTGTCACTGTTGATTTGCACGTTCACAGCAACTCTTGAGTTCTAGGTGCTCACCGCAACACTCCATATATAAAGATAAAGTGTATTACAGAATCACACTGACCTTAGCTCTAAATCTCACCTGAATAATTTGCTATGCCGATCCTAAATGTGGCCAAGCAAATGCTTTTTTCCAGTTTAGGATAAACTTTCAATTAGCTTTAAATAAATAAACTGATGGCAAAAACTTTCAGAGTTTTTCATGCTAACTAGCTATTTTACATCGAAAAATTGATAAAGCAATATGGAAGCTGAAATTAATAGTAAAAATATCATCGCTCATCTAAATTAATGTAACATGCTTTCCACCAGTTTTATTGTTCCTAATTCCACACCCCATTCCTACTTCCACTCCCCAAATCCATTCTCCACAATGCAGCTAGAGTAGGAATGTAAAAACATAATTTTATTGTCACTTCTTTCTTAGATTCCATTCAAAGAACAAAGTCCATAATCTAGCTAGGATATAAATGTAATTCTTAATGATCCGACCTCTGCCTGCCCCTACTCTGGCCTCATCTTTTGCCAATCTTCACCTGGCTAATTCCTACTTATCCCTTAGGACGATTGTTCCAAGTGTAGACTTGGGACTAGGTTATTAGACAGGTGATGATTAAGAGCATTGGCCCTGAGTTCAAATTCCAGCCCTTCCAATTACTAACTCTGACTTTGGGTGAGGTTAGTTCTAACTCTAGGCTTCAGCTTACTCACCTATAAAACCAGAATAACAAAAGTAACTATTATGTGGAATTGTACTGAAAATAACATAATACTGGCAGTCTTTAGCGGCCTTTGGTACATAGTGAGGACTTAGAAAATATTATCATCTATTATTATATATTGCTTCTTTCAACCTCCAATACACCCAACACAGCACTCATCATCCTATATTGTAAATGGTTATTAACTAGTCTGTTTGACACCTAACCAGTGCTTTTCAATTGCTCTCTCTGACCCCTCCCCACCATACATATCCCACATATCTGAGAGCTACAACTTATTCCTATTAGTAACTGCAGCCCACTCTAGCAAGTGATTCTTAAGGAGTGGTCATCCCCAATTGAGACTTATGCAGTTCAACTAATGGTTCTCAACTGGAAATGATCTTGCCTCCCAGGGAACTTTTTTTTTTACTTTTTTAATAATTTTTTTTTTAAATTTTGTAGAGACAGGGTCTTACTCTTATTCAGGCTGGTCTTGAACTCCTGACCTCAAGCAATCCTCCAGCCTTGCCCTCTCAAAGTGCTAGGATTATACTCAGTCACTTCATCCAGCTCCCAGGTAACATTTGGAAATATCTGGGGACATTTTTGGTTGTTGTAACTGGGGGAAGAACTACTGGCATCTAGTGGTTAAAAGCTGAGTATGCTGCTAAACATCCTACAATGCAGGGAACAGTTCTTCTATAATGAAGTATCATGAGGATCAAAATAACAATGGTCCCAAGGTGAAGAAACTTTGAACTAGACAATGGGCCCATGAATTGCTTTATCACCAGCATTAATTAAATGCAACAGCAGGCAAATTAGAAGAATTTCATAAGTAACTGCATGAAAAATATGAGCTGTAATTATAGTACATGCTATAAGAATTAAGCCACTACAATTTATAACCAGTATGTAAAAACACATAGAAAGTAGCTAATTCCCACAGGCCCTTTTTATAAAGATTATCAGTCATAATTTTTTTCCTTAATGTTTTAACAATCAACACATCAGTTTAAAAATCTTTTCCATTTAATCTCTTCTAACTGAAATAATCCTGCTCATTACAGAAGCACCATCTAATAAAGACGACCAAAACATTTAGTTGTTCTTTAACTGAAAAACCTGAAAATGCTACCACCCACCCATTCCCTCCACAGGGCAGCCAGAGGTAGATGCTGGCACCTGTATATATGCTTTGAGCTGCAATTCATCAATCAGTGAAATTCAAATGAGTACAGAGGTAGAAGGTGGCAGAGTTTCGCTGAGAAATGAAAAAAATTTCAATGTCAAATATAATTTAAAAAGCTGACATTCTTTTCTGCTAACACAAAGGACTCAGTAAGAGCAATACACATAACGTTGTTTCAAGCACCTTCTGTTACCCCAAATTACTGAATGTCTTCTGTGCTTTTAAATAAATAATCATGAACTTGAAAGAATATGTAGAAGAAATACCAGAAAGTATAAGTAAGAATAAGTTGGCAGAGTTGAGGTTGGTCACCATAAGGGATTTTAAAAATGGTTAAAACTTGGAATGCTTTTTAAGAAGAAAAAAACAATCTATAGACTAACACAGGCTGACTTTAAAAGATGAAGACTTAACACTTAATATTCTCATTCATTGTTTGGGGGCATATCTTCCCAATAAGACTATGAACATATCCAATTCATCTTTGCACATCTAGCAAAAATTTAATGTTTGGCATGTAGATGGGTTAATGTACTTATTTACTAAACAGATGAATATTTACAGATTTTCCCGTGCTTTAAATGCCTCCTGTAGTAAGACATGTCCTTTTATGTAGTAAATTATCCATGTTGCTTTTCTCTGTGCTTAATATCCTAGTAAATCAAATCCAGTGGCACAACGAATGCTATGTATATTCAGATCAAGTATGTTGGACAGCAGATCTCAGAAACATTTTTACTAAACCAACCACTCCCTATGACCTCCCTTCCCACCACCACCTCCTGCCTAATTATAACTTTATTATTCCTTACCTTCCTCAGGGGCAGCTGAAGCTCCTTCCGGTAATACAGGCTGTAACTCACCAGTTTCAGAATTATTTTCCAAATCAGTCATCTGCATTCCTTCCAGATGACCTCCTTTAGCATTAGCCCTCAAAGAGGAAGAAAACAACTTGGTATTTTTATATAACTACTAAGTGACACAGTAATCTATATTTTCCTTTCCTGGAATTGAGCACCAAACTGCATAGGGTATATGCAGTGGTATTTAATACCAAATTTCAAATTTTATTTTATTTTATTTTTTGAGACAGGGTCTCACTTTGTTGCCCAGGGTAGAGTGAGTGCCGTGATGTTAGCCTAGCTCACAACAACCTCAAACTCCTGGGCTCAAGCGATCCTCCTGTCTCAGCCTCCCAAGTAGCTGGCACTACAGGCATGCGCCATTATGCCCAGCGAATTTTATATATATATATACACATTAGTTGGCCAATTAATTTCTTTCTGTTTATAGTAGAGACGGGGTCTCGCTCTTGCTCAGGCTGATTTTGAACTCCTGACCTTGAGCAATCCGCCCACCTCAGCCTCCCAGAGTGCTAGGATTACAGGCGTGAGCCACCGCGCCCAGCCTCAAATTTTATCTTAAAACATTTCTCTAAAGATTCACAATAAAAAGTTATAAAATGATGGACTATATCAATGTCAATATCCTGGTTTTGATATTGTACTGTAGTTTTGCACAATGTTATCATGTGGGGAAACAGATAAGGTACATCAGATCTCTCTGTACTATTTCTTACAACTATGTGTGAATCTATAATTATTTCAATAAAAATTTGAGTTAAAATAGAGATTCTAAATAATATGTTCTAATAGGGAAGATTTTTGAGATATATTAAGAAAGCAAAGTACATCTTTTGTATTAAAAAAGCTACATAGTCCATAGTCAGTTGCTTAAATATACATAAAAACTGAGAAGATACAACATACACAAAAAATTAAGAGCAGCATTAATATGTGTGGACAGGGGTTGGAAAAAAAGGTAGATGGGAGATAAGAATGGAGAATTTTTCACTTAATATTTTTTTCCTTCCATTTTGAACCAGGCTGGCAGATATAATCAATTCTAAAATGAGGATTACACCTAAGAGCTGCAGTTATTTGTATAGGATTTTACACTCTAGAAAAAAAAATATCTATGTTCATATACATTTAATTTTTATGATTAAAGGCAGACATAAATATCTCTATAACAAAAGTTAGCTGCAGCTTTAACTTAAAAGGAACATATATACCAGGCTTAGTTATAGGAAAAGCAAGACAATCTCCAGCGACTTTTTTTTCTAACACCTTTCTACTGCTGAAACTTGAGCCACAACAGAAAAGTAAACCACCATCTGTTCTTTTACATTTTGGTAATGAGCCAGACCCTGAAGCTATATAAAATTAAGTAAACTTAAGGGATTGTAATCTTTCTCTAAATTTAGTTCAAAGTTCTTTTCAAAGTCGCCAAGGTAAAACTATTCTGTTTAATTTAGAAATGCATTTACTATCCATAAAATAAATCAGCAGATGGATATTAATGGCTCATCTAGCACAACCATAGTCAATATATTCTATAATCACCCTACCTTTTGAATAAATAGAAGTTTAATTGCCATGGCTGGGATTTGAGTTTATATTTCCTGGGAGAGAGATAAATATGTCAACTAAACATTTTATCCTTTCAGGAAGTTTCAATTATGACTTTTGAGGATATTTTTTCATAAGAGGAAAAAAGTGAGATGAAAGTAGAAAAGCAGTGTTAAAATTGCTGGAAGTGTTTTGTTCCATACAAAATATACGTGAAGATCTGTGACACATAATATAGCTCAGTACAAATGTCTTTGAAAAGTATGGGGCAGATGAAAAAAAAAAGCTGACACAAAAATCTTATAGGGCACAGTTCACAAAAGGTTATATACATCATTATTATCCTAACTTCAGTGAAAATGAGCTTTAATATATTTAAACTGAACTTCTGGTACTATCATTCCATTAAAAAAAAAAGGACTCTGATACTTATTAGTTGCATTTTAATGCAATAATTGAACTTTCTGCCCGCTAAAAAATTAACAAAGTAGAAATTAATTTTGTTCATTATGATGTAGACTTAAAGTTTCAAGCAAAGCTATTAGCTGTTATTCCATTACATAAACAAAAGAACTTAATTTACCCCAAGGTGATCATTTTTCTCCTTTTATCAACAGTAGGTAAGCCACTGAAAACTGCAACCACAACAGCATCTGAATCCAAAGCTTTACAATGCCGGTCTTCAGTTTTTGGCAAAATATCACCAATACTGCCATGTATCAAGGCTCGAGGAGAATTGTGCCTGCTCCCAGTCTGAGAGCTTCCTGCAGAACCTTCAAAAAAGGAAAATCAATCAATATTCAGAAAGGCAAATAAATACTAAAGGTCTCTCTCAGGTTAGAAAATCCACCATATATATATATATTTAAACTATGTAAAAACTTCAAAAACAATTTAAAAATATATCCCAGTCTTCTGATGATAGGTATTTAAAACTAAGGAGTACAGAATATGCAGTCTAATGGTTGTATTTTCTTAAGGACTTGTTCGGTTGTGAGATCAAGAAACTTTGAAATAGAACTTTAGCATTTTTAATGCATTTCAAGGTCTAAAGCTTTACCATAACATCAATTTCTTGTAAGAGACATCTATCCACTGAAATTACATTCTGAACTCCCAAAATTTACCTTCGGACAGAGTCTGACAGTCTCCTTTTGAACGATTATTTTCCCCGGAGTCCACTGCTCTTCGAAGTGATAGACTACTTGCTATACTGGACCGAGCTGGCTTGGGTGAATTACTCTTCTTATTTGTGGCTGCAAAGACATTTAAAAACATTTTTTTAATATGATCAAATACCATAAAATTCACTAGTCAGTCAGAGAAAGTTTAATCTTACCATGCATGTAAGCTGTTCTGTCTTCTGTTCCAAAAATAAACAAGATATTTTGTAGTTCCAACTGATTTATTTGGGGGGTTTATGAAAAAATTTATCTTGCTGCTTTGTGGAGCAGAATCTTAACTTAGAAGATTCTCTAGGTTATTTGTGAATTCCATAAGAAAAGCATAACAATTTCAATGTAATTAAACTAAGTATAAACAAAAATTTACCCATCGAAATACCTGTAAATTGTAAAATATTACTGGACTAAAAAGAAAATCAATGCTGAATTAGAAACAAATCACAATTACAATACTTCAAATCAAAATGCTCGTGGCCAAAGTAGTAATGAAAAGAAAATGTATAGTGTTAAAATGAATTAAGAAAAAAGAAAATCAGGAAAAAGAAAAGGGCAACTAAATGGCCTAATACGCATAGACTCAAGAAGCTAGAAAAAGAATATAAAAATATGTTGTGATGCAGCAAGAAAGCCCTTGCCAGAAACCAGGGCCACGCCCTTGAACTTCTCAGCCTGAAGAACTGTGAGCTAAATAAATTTCTTTTCTTTATGAATAGAAAATCAGAGGAGATTCATTAATAAACAGGTTCAGCAAGGTCATAGGATATAAGACAAAACAATCAATTATCTTTCTATACACTAGCAGAAGACAACTTGAGAATGAAATTAAGAAAACTATTTAATTTATAATAGCATCAAATAGAATAAAATACTTAGGAATAAATTTAACATAAAAAATATAAGACTTACATTATTATACTGAAAACTACCACACATTATTGGAAAAAAATAAAGACAAAAGGAAAGACATCTTGTGTTCACTGCTTGGAATACTTAATATTGTTAACAAAGTAATACTCCCAAAATTAATCTATAGATTCAACACAATACCAGCTGTTTTTTTTTTTTTTTTTAAAGAAACTGACAAATTGGTCCTAAAATTCATATGAAAATGTAAGAGACCCACGATAACCAAAACAATCTTTTTTTTTTTTTGGTATTGAGACAAGGTCTTGCTCTATTTCCTGGGTTAGAGTACAATTGCAGCAGCATAGCCCAATGCCACCTCAAAACTCTTGGGCTCACGTGCTCCTCCTGCCTCAGCCTCCCAAGAAGCTGGCACTACAGGTGTGCACCAAAATGTCTGGCTTATTAGTTTTTTTATAATAGAGATGGGGTCACACTGTTGCCCAGGTTGGTCTTGAACTCCTGGACTCAAGTGATCTCACCTTGGCCTCCTAAAGTGCTAGGATCACAGGCATCAGCCACCACACTCAGCCCCAAAACAATATTATATGTAAGACTCACACTTCTGATTTCAAAACTTACTATTCATACAACAACTAGACAGTTCTAAAAAAGAAAAAAAAAAAACCTTACTATTCGGCGGGATGTGGTGGCTCACGCCTGTAATCCTAGCACTCTGGGAGGCCGAGGCGGGAGGATTGCTGAAGGTCAGGAGTTCAAGACTAGCCTAAGCAAGAGCGAGCCCTTGTCTCTACTAAAAATAGAAGGAAATTATCTGGACAACTAAAAATATATATTAAAAAAAGATAGCCAGGCATAGTGGTGTGTGTCTGTAGTTCCAGCTATTCAGGAGGCTGAGGCAGAAGGATCACTTGAGCGCAGGAGTTTGAGGTTGCTGTGAGCTAGGCTGACACCATGGCACTCTAGCCTGGGCAACAGAGTGAGAATCTGTCCCAAGAAAAAAAAAAAAAAAAAAAACCACCACAATTGAGAACTCCCTCCCACCCACCTCAAGTGCATGTCTACATCACTTAAAATGTGCCATAAATTTAAAAAATAATAATTTTAAAATTAAATTAAAAAATTGGTTTAATTCAAAGGACTTGAACAGACATTTCTCCAAGGAAGATACATAGATGGCCAATAAGCACATAAAAAGATGCTCAATATCATTAGGGAAATATAAATCAAAACCACAATAGTATCTCATATGCTTGTTAATTAGGATGGTTATATTAAAACAAACAAAAAACCAGAGTATAAAATCGTGTTCTGTTGCTCTCTCCCTCTCTCCCCTCTGCTCCCCCTCAAAACCCATGTTCCTGCTTATGGCTGAGGCAATGTTTCCCAGTATGTCAGAATGTCCATTACAGGCTAAGAAACTCTTCCCAAGAAATAAAACTCTCCTTTAAAAAATATATATGTAAAAAAAAATTTAAATGAAAATAAAATAAAAAAATACCCAGAAATAACAAGTGTTCAGTGAAGATGTGGAGAAATTGGAAGCCTAGTGCACTGTTGGTGCAGCTGCTATAGAAAACAGTATGACATAGGTTCTTAAAAAAAATTTAAAAACAAGGCTGGGCGCGGTGGCTCACGCCTGTAATCCTAGCACTCTGGGAGGCCGAGCGGCGATTGCTCAAGTCAGGAGTTCAAAACCAGCCTGAGCAAGACCCCGTCTCTACCATAAAATAGAAAGAAATTAATTGGCCAACTAATATATAATATAAAAATCAGCCGGCATGGTGGCTCGTGCTGTAGTCCCAGCTACTCGGGAGGCTGAGGCAGGAGGATCGCTTGAGCCCAGGAGTTTGAGGTTGCTGTGAGCTAGGCTGACGCCATGGCACTCACTCTAGCCTAGGCAAGAAAGCGAGACTCTGTCTCAAAAAAACAAAAAAAAAATTTAAAAACAGAAATACCATATGATCCAGCAATTCCACTCTGGGTATATATCCAAAATTGAAAAAAAGAAACTTGAACAGATATTTTGGACACCTATATTAATATTAACATTATTCACAACAGCCAAAAGATGTAAACAACCCAAATATGTCCATCAAAGGATGAATAAACAAAATGTTATATACTCATACAATGGAATATTATTCAACCGTAGAAAGAACAAAAAAGGAAATTCTGCATTATGCTACAGCATGAACTCTGATGACATTATGCTAAGTGAAATGTCAGTCAAAAAAGACAAATATTGTATGATTCCACTCATATGTGATACATAGAACAGTCAAATTCAGACACAGAAACTGCAAATAATTGAATAACTTCTTTCCTATGCATCTAGAACACTATCAGTTACGTACCATCCTTGGGAGAATTAAGAAAGATGGAAACCTCAGTGAATAAAGGCTGTGAGCCTATAAGCAAGTCCATTTTCCCACTGTTAAAACTCCAGAATATGCCACTCTATTTCACACAAGTGATTCTAATAAGCTGTTAATGGTCTCACAACTTCTGCTCTCAACTTGTAAGACCTTTCTCCAAATAACTGTCATCTTTGTAAAGAGTAAATATGATTATAAACACTCCCCTGATTTATACTCTCTAGTAGAGACTTCCTCCTAAAGAAAGAATAAAACTCAAACTCTTAATTGAGGTTTTATAAGACCCCACTTGATCTAAATCCTGCCTACCTCCTCTCTGACTTCATCTATTATCTTCCTCTCTCTGCTTAGTTCACCGTATTTATTCATACTGGTCTTTCTTCAATCCTTCAAACACACAAAGCAAATTCTATGGCCAGTGACTTCGCATCTTCTGTTCTGTTTACCCAGAACACTGCTTCCTCTGGATCTTTGAATGGCTGCCACTTTCTCAACCTTCAAGTCTCAGGTCAAATGTTGCCTCCTCAGACACTCTCTCTGACCACCCCAACTAAACTAGCCCACTTCTCATCAACTCCTGCCAATCCCACTCTCTGTTGTTTCCTTCATAACATTTTTCAACCAACTGAAATTATCTTTACTTGTTTACACATTTTAATGTCTGATTCCCATCACTAGAATGAAAGATCCATGTGGTTAAGAATTTTGTCTTGATTATTACCCAGTATAGAGTAAGCAATTGTGCAATGTTAGCTCCATTACATAATAAAATATATATGGAATCAATTTTGGATGGGGGCCAGGAGAGGTGGCTCATGCCTGTAATCCTAGCACTCTGGGAGGCCAAGGCAGGAGGACTGCTTGAGCTCAGGAGTTTGGGACCAGGCTGAGCAAGAGCGAGAGACCCTGTCTCTATCAAAAATAGAAAAAAGAGACTCTGTCTCAAAAAAAAAAAAAAAAAAAAAAAATAGAAAAAATTAGCTGGGCATGGTGGTGCGTGCCTGTAGTCCCAGCTACTCCGGAGTCTGAGGCAAGAGGATTACTTGAGCCCAGGAGTTTGAGGTTGCTGTGAGCTAGGCTGACACCACAATACTCTAGTCTGGGCAACAGAGTGAGACTCTGTCTCAGAAAAAAAAAAAAAAAAAATTTGGATGGGGAAAAAGGACTGCACATATTTGTAGTCTTAATTCACGAACAGAGATGTTTAAATATTATTTTCCTGGAAAAAAAAAGTCATCTAGCTTCTCAAATAACATATGGAGAAACGACACTAATAGGAACTTTTTCACTTACAGTTTCGTATGTAACAACTGGCAACTGATGACTTTGCCAGCAGTTCCATCCCCAAATCCTGTACTCTGCCAGAGTTTTCGGCTCCACATGCAGCCAGAGCTGCCTGGTCAGCAGAAAAAAGGGTTGTCTGCATGTCTCCAGAAGCAGCGTTGCTGCTTTTTATTTCTGAAAGTGTATTCTTTACATCAGTTTTCATACATCGAACTTCGGCCATTTGAGTTTTGAGTCTTTTTAGCATCTTTAAATCAGAGGGCACTCGCCACATTGCCTGCTGCTTCCTTTGGTCTTTATCTTTTCGAGAATATGATGCTTCAGAGAAAAATTGACAAGTCATGTTAATATAAACTTTAACATTCATGAAATCATTTTGTATTATGAATATATGCAAATTCAATGTGTAAAATAAGCTAAGGTGTTTTAGGTGGTATCAACAACAAAAGCATGCATTAGGCTGGATATGGTCACTCATGCCTGTAATCCTAGCACTCTGGGAGGCAGAGGCAGGAAGATCATCAGAGGTCAGGAATTTGAGACCAGCCTGAACAAGAGCAAGAACCCAACTCTACCAAAAATAGAAAAAATTAGCTGAGTGTGGTGGCACACACCTGTAGTCCCAGCTACTTGGAAGGCTAAGGCAGGAGGATCGTGTGAGCCTAGAAATTTGAGGTTGCAGTGAGCTAGGATGACACAACTGCGGGACTCTGTCTCCAAAATTTAAATAAATAACATTAAATTTAACTAATGAAAATAAAGAGAAGACACCTTTAATGTTAGACTCTGAATCACATCATAATCACTCAAATCTGAATTATATATTTACCTCTAAAAATTTAAAAAAGATGCTCTACTGCCTTGTGCTTTTTTTCTCTATACTTTTCCACTTTTTAAAAATTTTCTACACTGAGCTTTTATGTCCATAATTGGAAAAAGGAAAAACTCAAAAGTCAAATACTTTGCCAAATCTGCTATACATAACATTATATTAAAAATATATATTCTAACTAAATTCAAGAAATTGCTTTATTGGATGAATCTATTAAAGTGCGATGGAACATCATAGTGTCCAGTCACTGAATTTTTTCACCCACTAAAGTGAGTTTTCTCTCTGCCCTAGAGAAGTAGTTGAAATTGTTTTTAATTTCTTCTCCCCCTATCCAAATATTTAAAAAGCACAAGTAAGGGAAATACACATTTCTGTTCTATTGCAGGAAGGTAAAGAGAGGCAGATGTTTTGGAAATCAAACAACATTATGACTGACTCAAAGCAAAAAGAAACCAAGCAAAATTAAAAACAACAACAAAACCAGGAGACCAAGAGGCACCCTAACTAGACAATGAACAAATCCTTTTGTAGCAGAAATGATAGTTGAACCTTCTTAAACGTTACAACCACCTTCTGCCTCACAAGAGGAACTACAGTGAAAGGTAGACACTGGGGTCTGCCCAACAGCCATTCCTCTACTTCTATAATATCTTGCCAAAAGGACTTGGTTGTGTTCAGGTATCAACCAAGTGGACAGCAATGTACTCAGGGAGATCAGGTCCCTCCTTCAGCCCCAGGGTATACTTGGGTCCATGACTAGTCTCATTTCATTCCTTTTTGACAGTGTTTAGAATGAGCACATGACCCAGTTCTGGCCAAGAGACTACTTAGGACACTTTTGGGAAAGATCTTCTACCCTGACAGGGAAATTTTGTTTTGTTTATTTAACAAACACCTATAAAGAACTTGCTATAACAAAATACCATAGAATAGAAAAAAAAAAAAAAAAAAAAAGAACTTGCTGTGTGTTGGGCAAAAATATTAAGCCATTTAATCTTCTCATGTCAACCCTATGGGATAAGTACTATTATTTTTTTTTGTCCTACCTTAAGTATATGACAGTACTATTATTAACTATTACTATTAACTCCATTTTATAAAAAAGACACAGAAATGTTGCATAATATACTCCAGGTCACATAGCTAGTAAGTAAAGGAGCTTAAATTCAAACCAAAGAGTCTGCCTCCAGCGTCAGTAATCTTTATATTAATAACTCCAGGGTAATGGGAATAAGGTCTCTTTCCTGTCTAGCCTTTTTCCTCTTGCTAGTGACACACTCCTGGGGATACATGATGCCCGGAGCTACGGCATTTATCTTATTACTGTAAGAGGCAAAGTATCACAGGAAGACCATCTTGTGACCTGCCTCTAAGTTACCTGATGATCCTGGAATCACCTACCTCCAGATTTCTTAATATGGATAATTAAGTGCCTTTATTATTTAAGCCACCAGTTAGAAGCATTTTGTTACTTGTAGTTAAAAGCATTCATAACAGGCCGGGCGCGGTGGCTCACGCTTGTAATCCTAGCACTCTGGGAGGCCGAGGCGGGCGGATTGCTCAAGGTCAGGAGTTCAAAACCAGCCTGAGCAAGACCCCGTCTCTACCATAAAAATAGAAAGAAATTAATTGGCCAACTAATATATATATATGTGTGTGTGTGTGTGTATATATATATATATATATAAAAAAAATTAGCTGGGCATGGTGGCGCATGCCTGTAGTCCCAGCTACACGGGAGGCTGAGGCAGTAGGATTGCCTGAGCCCAGGAATTTGAGGATTTGAGGTTGCTGTGAGCTAGGCTGATGCCACGGCACTCACTTTAGCCTGGGCAACAAAGCGAGACTCTGTCTCAAAAAAAAAAGCATTCATAACAGAACATGACCAGAGATTTTAGAAAGTTAGAATCTGGTCTCAGGTCCACCATTTAGACACCGTAATTTTCTTAGTCCATCAACTTCTCTGAGTCCATATGATAATAATATATACATAACAGGGTTGTTGTGAGGCTCAGAAAATTCAATATTTGTGAAAACAATCTGTAGTACAGTTCTCATCTGATGCATTGTTCACCATGAAGCCAGAGCAGTTTTCCAAAACCCATCATCAGTCCAGGCACTATGGCTCACCCCTATAATCCTAGCACTTTGGGAGGCCAAGCCAGGAGGACTGCTTGAGGTGGAATTCAAGACCAGCCTGGGTAACACAGTGAGACCTCATCTCTACAGAGAATTAAAAAATAGGCCAGATAGGGTGGTGCATATTGTCTATAGTCCTAGCTGACTACAGTGAGCTAGGAGGCTGACTTGAGACCAGGAGTTCGAGGCTACATGAGCTAAGATTATACCACTGCACTCAGCCTGAGCTAGAGCGAGTAGACTGCAACTCTTAAAAGACATTACTTTCCTGCTTAGAATCCCGACATAGCATTCTACAGGAAAGTACCAGCAAGGCACACAGGCCCTTCATTGTCTGATTCTACCTTATTTCTCAGCAGCTTTTTATCTTCTACCTCCATCCCAAATACACCCTAATCTTTTGGAATTACTTACGACTCTTTCTAATACATGGGCCTTGCTCTATCACACTTCCATTCTTTTCACATATACTATTCCTTCCCCTTTCTTTCTCTGCCAACCCAAACTCATCAGATATAACCTTAAATGTCCCCTCTTTTAGGCATCTGTACCGTCAACATCCTCCTCCTCACAAATCAATTCTTATTTAAATTTGTATAATACACAGATTATATTTCTAACAGCACTTACATTACAATATGGAAGACAAACATGTAGACTATGAACAACTTCATGGTGAAGATTGGATCTTAAGTGATCTTTGTATTCTAGGCCAAGCACAAAAATACTTAATATGTTTGCTAAAATAATCTTTGTGGCTCCCACTTCCCACTCCACATGTACATGGACTTAAATATGAACCTCTCTATTAACCTACACGTTTTGGTTTATTATTATCAGAAACTGACAAGAATGGGAAAGTAGGAGTAAAAATCCCAAATGGAAAAATGAAAAAAAAAATTAAACACTCATCATCTGTTAATCAGTCAATAAACATTTACTAAGCCTATTTTAAATGCTAAGCACTGTGTTGGGCAGGGGATACAGCAGTGACCAAGAAAAACATCCTGAGTTTACCATCACAAAGCTCCCAGTCCAGCTGGGAAAAAGAAAAAATAATCAATTTCAACACTGAAACTGCCCTTTATAAAATTAATAAAGGGCCACAAGGTGGGAACTGTGGTAGAGGCCTGAACTGTACATATACAAAGGTTTATAGTTTTAAAATATACTTTATAGTTTAAAATAGTATATAGTTTAAGAATATATAACTAGCCATTGTCCCTAGTTTGCTTTCCTAGAATTATTACTCATAAGTCACATGTAAGTCATAATGATTCTTAACTTTCTGAATTACTCCCACAGATAACACCACCCTTGTCAAACCTAAGGATAGTTTTTAAGATATCTTCCAGGCCCTGAATTCCAGTGGATGGCTGACCCACTCAGACCAGTAGCCCATACCAAGGAACTGACTCAACTGGTCTTCTGACTTGCCTCCCACCCAAGAAACTAAGCAGAAGACAATTTCTACCCTCCTGTGGTTGCACCCCAAACCCAGACAATCAGCAGACCCAATTGCCTCGCCAAACTATCTTTAAAAAACCCTTTCTGCCAAATTCTCAGAAAGACTGATTTGGAGACTCCCACCCATATCCTCGTGTCATGCCTGTTATACTAAACTCTTCCTCTGCTGGAACCCCCCGTTGTCTCAGTATATTGGCTTCCTTTTGAGCAGTGGGTAATGAACCTGGTATAGCTGTAATAGTACTGTGTAATAAGTACAAACACAGCAAAGTGTAAGGTGCTATGGGGTTGTACATTATAAGATAAGCTTTCCTGACTGTCCTAAGTCACATGGCTAATTAGAATTAAGAGTCTCATTTATAATACCTTTTTTGGGGGTGGGGGTAGATATGGTCTTACTCTGTTGCCTGGGCTAGAGTACAGTGGTGTCATCACTGCAACCTCAAACGCCTGGGCTCAAGCGATCCTCCTGCCTCAGCTTACCATGTATCTAAGACTACAGGCATGTACCACCATGCCCAGACGATTTTTTTTTTTTTTTCAATTTTTTGTAGACATGAGGGTCTCACTATGTTGCCCAGGGTGATCTTGAACTCCTGGCCTCAAGGGATCTTCCTGCCTCAGCCTCTGAAAGCACTGGAATTATAGGCATGAGCCACAACATCCGGCCCCACAATGTAGCTTTTAAAGGTAAATTCTTAGCTGTCCAAAATGACTCCATCCCCAAGAGTTTCAAGAAGCCCAATTATGACACAAATCTCCATCTCAATACAGTAAAACAACTGTAATTTATCTTTTTTCTTTTATTTTATTTTATTTTATTTTAAAAAATTTAAGTTCTTTTTATTTTACCGTATTAACTTTAAATTTTCTGGCTGATGTAATTTATCTTTAACAAACAACCTTTGCACATAAAACATTGCTGCTAATTGGAATACATTTTTAATCTACTGAATGATGAAGCAAGAGTAAACAGCAAAACCTTTTCTACGTTCAATTTATACACAATTCCATTTGGAAGTCAGGGAATTCATGAGGCCTGAAAAACTCAAAGTCCATTCACAAAGAGGACAATTGTACTTCACATGAATCAATCAGTTAGGCACACTCTAAGTAGCAAATCATATTAAAAACCTTCTTATAGGCCGGGCGTGGTGGCTCACGCCTGTAATCCTAGCAGTTTGGGAGGCCAAGGCAGGCGGATTGCTCAAGGTCAGGAGTTCGAAACCAGCCTGAGTGAGACCCTGTCTCTACCAAAAATAGAAATAAATTAATTGACCAACTAAAAATATATATACAAAAAATTAGCCGGGCATGGTGGTGCATGCCTATAGTCCTAGCTACTTGAGAGGCTGAGGCAGTAGGATCGCTGAGCCCCGGAGATTGAGGTTGCTGTGAGCCAGGCTGACACCACGGCACTCACTCTAGCCTGGGCAACAAAGTGAGACTCTGTCTCAAAAAAAAAAAACAAAAAAAAACAAACCTTCTTATAAGGCGTTTTTGCACAAAACATCACTGAAGAAAACCAAAAAATTTAATTTGTTTCATATAAATGGCATTTTTCTGACATATAATAAAAAATCAATTTGTTACAGAAATACACCATGTTCCAACACTTAACTGAAATACCAAGATCAAAATTAAAGAGTTCTTTTAGAGAAGCACAGAAAAAAGGGAAATTATCAGTTATTATTTTACCTGTAGGCTGCAAAAGTGAAGCAGGTGGGCGAGGCTGTAGGCCCCACAAATTTTCCATACTGCTCCGGTCCTTAAGGTCCAACAAATGTATTAAAATCAATGGATCAATGTCTAATAAACTACTGGTAGCAGCAGAGCATAAATGGGTTCTTCTTGACATTCTGCTACTGGCACCCAGATAGCCATGGGTACTACCTGCAAAAGAAATTGAGATGTAGAAAATGTACATAAAAGTATATTTGCACAAATTTAAGTGTACTTCAAAAAACTGGCTAACATTGTTTGAATACTTGTTTATAGACCTATTTCCTAAGAGTTCAGGTTCATGATAAGAAACACAAAGAAGAAACCAGACAGTTAGAGAGATGTATACTAAGCACAGTGACTGAACAGAGGCCTCATTAGTACCTCGAATTCAGGAGTAAGCATCAACCCCTTGCTGAGCCCTAGAAATAAAAGATGATGCATATAATGTCCACAACTTGGGGGGTGAGGGTGAGGAGAAGGAAAGTATATCCCATGAATCACTGGTCTTAGATGAAAGGTAAATGCCCAAAGTATAACAGATTCCAAATAACTAGATACCAAAATATTAGGTTATTAAGTATGAAATGTCCAATTTCCTTAAGAACTAAGTTAGACAGCTGAGATCTCTACATTTCACTCTGACACTTCTTGTTTTATTTTTATTATGAAGGTATATCCTCAGACTTTCAAATACATGATTTGGCTTGTGATTACCTTTCACTTTTTTTTTTTTTTTTTAGAGCAATTTCTGTGAAACCATCATGGATAAGTCAAAAATTTTGTGTTATTTTCAAGTTTGAGTTCTGTTGTGGAGCCAATGCAGTACAGATAGCTTGAAATATCAACAAAGTTTCTGGGAAGGATGTGGCTAATGAATGCACAGCACATCAATGGTTTGAGAAGTTCTAGTCTGGTGATTTTAATCTTGAAAATTAGCCATGTGGGTGACCTGAGACCAAGGTGGACAATGATGAGCTGAAAGCTGTAGTATAAGTGAATATATCTCAACCTATATGTGAATTAACAGCAAGGTTTGATGTTACTATTCCAACAACATTGGACCATTTGAAACAAATCAGCAAGGTAAAGAAGCTGGATAGAAGAGTATCACATAAATTCAAGTGTCAGAATAGAAATCGTCTCAAAGCTTGCCTTTCTTTGCTGTCATGACATAAAGGCAAACCGCTTCCACACCATATTGTTATGTGTGATGAAAAATGTGTTCTTTTTGATAATCACAAGCATTTAGCACAATGGTTGGACAGAGATGAATTGCTTAAACACAATCCAAAACCAAATAATCATCAGAAAAAGCTAATAGTGTCTGTTTTGTGGTCCAGTGCTGGTCTTACCCACTACAGCTTCATGAAACCTCGTCAATTTCTACGGCAACCAATTGGAAGAAATGATAAGGATGCTTGCAATTAAGCAGCTGAGACTGGTCAACAGAGACAGGCCAATCCTCTTGCACAACAAAGCTTGATCACATTTTGCACAAACAAGACTGCTCAAACTACAGAAGCTGGACTTGGAAACTCTCTGTCATCTACCACATTCACCAAACTTTGCACCAATTGACTACCACTTGTTCCAGGCTTTGGACCACTTGTTGCAAAGAAAAATATTTAATTCTCAACAAGCTTTGGAAAATGCCTATTGTAATTTCATTGCCACTTGCTCTCCAGGCTTCTTTGCTGCTGCCATAAACAACTACCGTTAAGATGGCAAAACTGTGCTGATAGTTTCCAGAGGTCCTCAAACTGCGGCCCACCGAGGACATTTATCCAGCCTGCCAGGTGTTTTTGCCGCAGCTGCCTGTCCTGCTTAGCAGTCAACTCGTCCTGGGCCCACAGTGCGTATATGTGGAATGTGCACCACACTCCAACAGCCCTCCAACAGTCTGAAGGACAGTGAACTGGCCCCGTTTAAAAAGTTTGAGGACCCCTGGTAGGCGCATACTTTGATTAACTGTACTGCTTCTTGAGATATAATAAACTAAACTTTTTATTCAAAATCAGAAATTTCATATTTAATGACCTAATAGGAATCTTGTCCAGGTCTCTGAACAGCAAAATGTACGGGTTGTTACAGTTTGGTAGACTTTTTCTAGCTTAATTAAATACTGGAGTACAATGTGAAGTTTTCTGACAGAACTTGTTAATGACTGATACATATTACAGATATGGGTAAGCAGATGTCATGCCCATACCTCCTATATTTGACTAAGCTCCTTAAGCCAAGAAAACAAGTGACTTTTCTCTAGTGCCTAGTATAAGGCCTAGCAAATATCAGGTATGGAAATGTTGCTTACAACTGTCCTTTAATAAAGCTATTTAAATACATTCTAAAGAGACACCACATTTTTAAAAGGCTATACATAGGAAAGTCTCATAATATAAAATAATCGGGTTCTGACTACTCATGAGTTATTTCAGAGATCCAGCAGGAAATAACTTAGGAGAAAAGTTCAGAGCCTCCAAGCCAATTAGTAACTTATGTTTTTCACATGCTCATGTTCTCACTTTCTCCCAGTTCTTCTACCTCCTCTTCTAAGGATTATCTCGTGGCTGATTTTTCTTCCCAATCTGTATATCCACTGCAATTCCTAATAAATAGCAGAAAACTATTCCCCCTCTATATTGAAACTATTCCAGACTTTTCTTTTACTGAGTAGTTCCAAAATCAGGCTAAATATCAATCAAGTGAAGAAACTTTAAAAATTATAGGTTCCTAGCTCTATCCTGACATATGAAATGAGAATACTGAAGTGGGATCCAGGATCTTTTCCTAAAAAGCTACTCAAGTGATTCTGAGGAATAAATAGTAAGTCCAGTGTTTGTTATCTACTGCTCTAATATCTGGTTCTTCTTTAAAAATGGAAGTTGTTCATTCTCCCATGTTAAGTATGTTTACAGTACAGAAAGCAGTATTAGCAATCTCCTTTTTCTCACTGCTTTTCCAGGCCATTATTCTTACCACTGAACAAAAACTCCTTTCCTTTGTAGTTTATGATCTTTACCTACTTTCCTTCCACATGCTCCTAAGCTTTCTACCCACTATTATATTCACCCACAGTCATCAAAGGCTTTAGCATCTATTTTAGTTTCCCTCTTTCTCAGCTAATATTGTCATAATTACTAAGTGTGTCTCAAACATAAACGTACAGGCTAATGCATATTCACAAAGTCATAAGACTGGGTGTCATGGCTCACGCTTGTAATCCTATCACTCTGGGAGGCTGAGGCAGGAGGAATGCTTGAGGTCAGGAGTTTGAGACCAGCCTGAGCAACAGCGAAACCCTGTCTCTACTACAGAAAGAATTAACCAGATGTGGTGGCATGCGCCTGTAATCCCAGCTACTCGGGAGGCTGAGACAGCAGCATCATTTGAGCCCAGGAGTTTGAAGTTGCTGTGAGCTAGGCTGATGCCACGCTACTCTAGCCTGGGCAACAGAGTGAGACTCTGTCTTAAACAAAGAAAACAAAGTCATCATACTCAGGTGAAGAAATAGATTACTAGCACCCTAGAACTCCCCCATGCCTCCTCATTACCCAGAATGCCCCGCAATGTAAACAAATCGACTAGCTTTGCCTGTTTTGAATTTATATAAATGTATGAACTCTTATACACTGCTTCTTTGCATAATATTATGTTCATGAGATTCATCTGTATGGCTGTACATAGTTTATTCATTTTCATTATTACTGTGCAGCATCCCAGTATATGAATATATCCAGTTTATTCCTCTACAGGAAAAGAATGTGCATTGCTTCTAGCTTCTTTTGTCTATTAAAAATAAAGCTGGCCAAGCATGGTGGCACACACCTGTAATCGTAGCACTCTGGTAGGCAGAGGCAGGAGGATTGCTTGAGGTTTTGAGTTCAAGACACTGTCTCTACCAAAAAATAGAAAAAAAGTAGCCAGGTATAGTGGCACACACCTGTAGTGCCAGCTACTCAAGAGGTTCAGGCAGGAGGATTGCTTGAGTCTAGGAGTTTGAGGTTGCTGTGAGCTATAATGATGACCCTGTACTTTAGCCAGGGTGACAGAGCAAGACTCTGACTCAAAAAATTAGGAATATAATAAAGCTACTAAAACTATAAGCAGACAACTGCTCTTGAAGCTCATATGTGTATTTAAAAAAAAAAAACCAAAAAACAAAAACACCTTATAAAAAAGCAAATGGATTGGTGACAGGTTCCTCTCTTCTTGTGCCAAGCCAAATGAATCCTGCTGAAATGTCACAATGATCTGAGTTCTTTACAGCACAGTGCCTATATACATTAACATGACACTCAAAGACCTATATTGTCTATTCCCAAACTATCTTTCCAACGTACCTGACATTTTTGTATCCTTTACTTTGTTATAAATTCCATCTTTTTTCCTTAAAAATAAAAAACTAAAAAAGAGCAATGCTGCTCTAAACAGTCTTATAAAAATCTACTGGCAAACACTGGCTAACATTTCTGTTGGAACTCATGCAGCCATGGGCATATATATGTTAGGTTTTAGTAGATAGTTTTCCAATAGTTTTTCCAATAGTTTTCCAAAGTAGTGGCATCAATTTTCCTTCCCACCAGCAGGTTGAGAGTTTCCATATCTTCACATGCTTTCAACATGTAGTATTGTCAGTTTTAAAAAATATCAGCCATATGGGCAGTATGCAGTGGCATGTTATCGTGGTTTTAATTTGACATTTCTTTTTTTTTTTTTTTTTTTTGAGACACAGTCTTGCTTTGTTGCCTAGGCTAGAGTGAGTGCCGTGGTGTCAGCCTAGCTCACAGCAAACTCAAACTCCTGGGCTCAAGTGATCCTTCTGCCTCAGCCTCCCAAGCAGCTGGGACTACAGGCATGTGCCACCATGCCCGGCTAATTTTATATATATATATATTAGTTGGCCAATTAATTTCTTTCTACTTTTAGTAGAGATGGGGACTCCCTCTTGCTCAAGCTGGTTTTGAACTCCTGACCTTGAGCATTGAGCAATCCGCCCGCCTCGGCCTCCCAGAGTGCTAGGATTATCAGCGTGAGCCCCACACCCGGCCTTAATTTGACATTTCCTGAAAAAGAATGAAGAAAAATGAACAGAGTCTCAAAAACCTGTGGGACTCCAGCAAGTACACCAAAATACACATATTGGGAGTGACTTCTAAAGGAAAGGAGAGAAAAAGCCAAAGAATATTTAACAAAATAAGGGCTGAAATTTTCCCAAATATGATAAAATATATATATATCAATCTCCAATTATGGGAGCTCAATAAACTCCAAGCAGGATAAACTCCAGAGACTGACAATGGGACACATAATTTGCATTTCTCTGACAATATGTGTACTGGCCATCTAAATAGCCTCCTTGTGAAGGTGTCTAGTTTTTGCTCTTTTTTTCCAGGAGGTTGTCTTAATGATTTATAAAAGTTTTTAAGATATTATGGACAAGTCTTTTGGATAATACTTTTAATTAACTTATTTATTGTGATTAATAGAAATAATGATGGGGTTTTTTTTAAATCAATACACTATATTTCCAGGCCAGACTACACAGCTGAGATCCCATAAGCAGCTAGACATATGGGTCTGGGAATCAACATGTGGATGTCCCACAGATCTCTCAAACACAACATGGATCAAAATGAATATATTACTTTCTGCTCCTGAACTCCTATCATATGTAACAGCATAACCTAAGCTAGAAACCATAAAGAGTCATTTAGAAATCTCCTCCAACTCAAACCCATCCATTTAGACTCCAAGTCCTATAGATTCTAACTACTTAACATCTCTTAAAAGGTTTCTTCTCGGCTAAGGTGGCGTATGCCTATAATCCTAGCACTCTGGGAAGCTGAGGCAGGAGGACTGCTTGAGGTGAAGGGTTCAAGAACAGCCTGAGCAAGAAATATACCCATAAAATTAGCTGGGCAACTAAAAATAGAGAAAAAATTAGCTGGGCGTGGTGGTACACATCTGTCGTCCCAGCTACTGCGGCCGGGGTGGGGCGCTGAGGCAGGAGAATTGCTTGAACCCAGGAGTTTGAGGTTGCTGTGAACTAGGCTGATGCCACAGCACTCTAACTTGGGCAGCAGAGTAAGACTCTGTCTCAAAAAAAAAAAAGTTTCTTCTCCATCCCAAGTGCTATTGTCTTATTTTGGGTTCTTACCATTTTCACTCCTAGAATATTTTAAGTTTTTTAAATATTCCATTAACCATTTCAGGCTTGAATTCTTTCATAATTAGCATATAACAAAAAAGCATTTCCACACTCTACCCCACCTCACGCCAATCCAGCTTTTGTTCACTGCCTTATTTTTTTTAAAAAAACTTTTTGTTTTACAATAGTTTTTAGATTTACAGAAAGGGTGAAAATATAATACAGAGTTCCTGTATATCCAACAACCAGTTTCACACTGTCAACATCTTTCATTACTATAGTATATTTATAAGAACTAATGAACCAATATTGATATAATATTAACTAAATTCTATACTTTATTCAGATTTCATTAGTTTTCTCCTAATGTTCTTTTTCTGTTCCAGAGTCTCATTCAGAATATTAAATTACATTTAAGCTGGTTAAGTCTCTTTAGGCTACTCTGGTCTGTGACAGTTTCTCAGATTTTCCTTGTTTCTGAGCAGCACAAGTCACATAGTTTGTACAATGTCCCTCAATTAGGGTTTGTGTGATTTTTTTCCTTATGTTTAGATTATTTTTATGGGAATTCAGGAGGAAGACACCATAAAGTACCATTCTCAACACATCATATCAAGGGTACATGATTTATCAGATGATGCTAAATTTGATCACTTGGGTAGATAATGTTTGCCAAGTTTCTCCACTATAAAGTTATGTTTTCCCCTTTTACACTGTCCTATTCGAAAGCCTGTTTGGAAGCAAGTCATCAAGCGCAGCCTACATTCAAGGGGTGAGAAATTACATTCCATCTCCTGGAGAAGGGAGTATCTAAATAAATAATTGAATTCTTCTATATGTGTACTGTCATATTCCATCTAATTGTTCATGTATCTATTTAGTTTTAGGTTATAAATTACTTAAGAGTAAGTTTTTTTTGTTACATATTCCAGAAATCTTGAAATAGGCATGATAGTCAACAAATGTTTGCCAAAAATATAAAATATGATAAAAATAAACTGTTTCTTTTATTATTATATCCTCAATTCCTAGAATATAGTGCCTGAATTACAATATTTAGAATTAGAACATAAGCTCCATAAAAACACAGGTATCATTTTATTCAACACTATATCTAAAGACAGTAAAATAATGCACAGTTCAAGTTAAATGCTCAGTAAATATCTGATGAATAAATTTAACAAAATATAATCTGTTTACCTTGAATGTGTAAAAATGTTACATATGAGAACTTTCCTACCACACAGTTTAAGAGAGGAAAGTAGGCCTAACTAAACACACACAAGGCTAAAAAATATTATGTTGCCTTGACTCAGTACACTCATCTTCCATTTTGCACAGATATAGTCTGAATTTTTCCATACTTTTTAAAACCTTTTTAAATGTAATTGTTGGAATTACATCCAACAATTAGTAATAAAGTATATTCACTCAACATTTATCTGAAAATAGTAAATGACCCCTTGTTATACTGCATTAAATGCTAGGAATACAAATGTGAGGAAGACACTCATGATCCTGGCTTGAGCTCAGAGATGAACAAGAAAAATGGGCAGCTAAATAAGCAATTACAATGTTTAATAAATGTCATAATAGGTTAATCTGAAAGAGCAAGAAAAGGTACCCAAAGTAAACAGTCATGGAGGGTGTCCAGGAAGAAAGGAAATGTAAGCTAAAATGAAGGATTAGGAGTTGACTATGCCCAGGATAAGGGAAAGGTAGAAGGAACATGTTGGGAAGCAAAGAGGTGAGAGATAACAAGGATCATTTGAGAAGCTGAAAGAAGTTCCTCCTGACTAAAGAATGACACAGAGGAATAAGTACTGTTAAAGAAATAAGCAGGAACCAGGACATGAACTATTTGTGTGCCATATTAAACAGTTTGGATTTTATGGTATAAATAAATGAAATCCAATAAAGGGTTTTTAAGTAGAGAATTGACATGAGCAGATATTAATTAGAAGGGGGAAAAAACCCTCATCCTGAATTCATGCTGTGGGAAATATAATGAAGAAGAGAAATAATGGATACAAGGAACCCAGATGAGAAGCTGCTGTAAAAAAAAAAAAAAAAACAGGCCGGGCGCTGTGGCTCACGCCTGTAATCCTAGCTCTTGGGAGGCCGAGGCGGGCGGATTGCTCAAGGTCAGGAGTTCAAAACCAGCAAGAGCGAGACCCCGTCTCTATAAAAAAAAAACAAAAAAACAGAGACCTGGACTAGGAATGGCAAAGAAGTGGGAGTAACAAATGAGTTTATGCACTGTTTAGGAGGCAGTACCAACAGATCTTAGTAATACATTGAAGGCAGAGTTTGAGAGAGAGGAAGAAGTAAAGAATTTATAGCACTATCAGTCACTAAGATGGCAGCTACTGCTGACAGGCAGGCTGGCAGATGGAAACATGATTCCTGTTTGGGAGGTGCTGAGTCACACTAAGACTGCTCTATGGGTCTAGAAGTCATGGGAAAAATAATAGCTAGAGAGTGAACTTGGAGACTAATCAGCATACAGATAGTAACTGAAACACAGGTGTGGATGAAATCACCCAGGATTAAAGTGAGGTGTAGGAAGGGCTTAGGCTGGAAGTTGAAATGGTGAGGACTAGTATTTAAGAGATCTTTAACATGCTTCAGTAACTAAAGAACACACCAGTGTTCATACTGAGAGCAACACGGGTAATGTAGAAGCAGTATAAAGCTAGCTTCTAACCAAGATTCACATACTTAATTAAACAGATCCAAGAACACAAAAAACACTCACTATGTAAGTCAGTTCATCCCAGGAGGAATAGTATGGTTTTGGGGAAAAACAGGGTCCCACAACAAGAGGATGTAGGGATCTAGTCTGGTTGTACTAACAACTAGCTCTGTGATCAGGCATTTAAATCTCTGAATTTTGTTGACCTAAAATGAGCTCTCTAAAGATCCTTTGTTAAGTCCAAGATTCAATGACTCTATTCAGATCATTCTACAGCCAAGTAAGATATAAAAACAAGATTTGTATACCAAAAAGAATAGTATAAAATATGGATGTTGGACCCAGAGAAACCTGGGGATCCAATTAATCTCTTCCATTTACTAAATTGTGAAAAATTGGCAATTTCTTAATTGCTTAATTTCTTAATTTCTCTATGTATGCATCAGTGAACCTGTCTCATAGAATTTTATAAATAAATAAGGTGCACATAAAGTACTTCATATAGTTCCTCGTACAAAAAGAACATTTTAAAAATGTTAGCTATTATTACTGTTTTAAATATAATTAGTAATAAATACTAAAATCCATACTACTATAAGATAGAGCACTTCTAACACCATCAGCCATGTACAGCACTGGCTACCACCTATTACAATATGATATGGTCAGAGAAAAGCAGAGACAGAATGGCTTAGGGTGAGGGTGGGGTAGGGGGTAGGTTTGGCCTCTGTACCTGGAGGTCCTGCAGCAGCTGCATCTTCCATGAGTTCTCCCTCTTCCAATTCCATGTTGTTATATTCCACATCATTTTCTCCAGACCTAAATAGACACAAAATTCATCATGCTCATAGAGTAAATACAATTAATGATTTGTCACAACTCAACAAATTTTATAATAGTGCATAGCTTTCTCCTGTGAGGATAGAATATTTCTAAATACAAAAATGATTAGAAAGATTTTTGTCATTATCACAAATATAAGTAGTGTTAATATTCAAACAGCCTTTGAAAAATATCAAGATACGTTGGCATTTAATTTTTAAAACATTTAAATTTTAAAATGGCTTTAAGAATCACTGTAAAAAGAGATTATAGCTTCAGAGAATTCGTAACCTAATGGTAGTAAACTAGGCTTAAAACACTACATAATATTTTTTTAAAAGCCCAAATTACTGTACATGACTAAATGTTCTTTTCTGAAATATTGCAGAAAGGGCCGGGCATGGTGGCTCACACCTATAAGCCTAGCACTCTAGGAGGCTGAGGCGGGAGGACTGCTCAAGGTCAGGAGTTCAAGACCAGCCTGAGCAAGAGCGAGACCCCATCTCTACTAAAAATAGAAAGAAATTAGCTGGACAACTAAAAATATATAGAAAACATTAACCGGGCATGGTGGCGCATGCCTGTAGTCCCAGCTACTCAGGAGCTAGGCAGGAATCACTTGACCAGGAGTTTGAGGTTGCTATGAGCTAGGCTGACGCAACAGCACTCTAGCCTGGCAACAGAGTGAAACTCTGTCTAAAAAAAAAAAAAAAAAAAAAAAATTGCAGAAGAAGGGTACTGCTTCCTAGAAGACTCACAAAGTCTCTCATACTAAAAACACTCACTATTACTTTATTTTAAACAACAAAGTACTATTTAGAATACTATAATAACACTAGTTTTGGATATTCAAAGACATCTCAAGATCAGTTCCCAGCTAGACAGTATGAGGAGCTTTGTAGACTGCACTCTAGTGAAACTGGTTAAAATTATTTCTAAAACAACCATTTAAAGACTCTGGAAACAGTCTGAAGGGCAGATGGCAAATGAAGAAATATTTACTCAAGAAAAGCTGTAAAATTTGGTAAAGACATTGCATACCTGCAGTATTTGAACCAAAACCACTCTTCTTCCCTAATATAGAAATCCACTCCAGACTGGTAAAGCCAAGAATGTAGGCCTCCCATTTCCAGCAGCTCCTGAGAGAAGGGCTAAATTCTAGGAGGGCAAGACATCAGTATTTCTCATTCTGTCCCCAGCTACCTGTTGTTGATATAGGTCCAGCTATACGTGGCCACAAGGTAGGAGCTCGCTTCTTCTGCCAGACCCACTCACAGAATAAAGGTCTACTTGGGTACAGCATGATGAAAATGCTGGGCCCAGATCACCCCTGCCCCAGCTTATTCATAAAGTGGAGTCCCAGGCCTGAAAAGGCAAGCTAAGAAGAGTTAAGGCTATAGTCCCCAACACCCATTTAGCTCAGCTTCTAACGTAGGAAAAGGACACCTCTGTCCCTACAACTCTAGCTTCAAAATGGTGGCTCAGAAATTTTTGGGGAGAAGCAGGCTAGAAACAAAGCCTCAGAGAAATATAAAAACTACTAAGAGCATCACAAAATATAGTCAGCCTTCTGTATCTATGGGTTCTGCATCCATGGATTCAAAAAAATCAAGGATGAAAAATATTAAAAAAAAATTGCTGGCTGGGTGCGGTGGCTCATGCCTATAATCCCAAAAGTTTGGAAGTCCAAGAAGGAGGATCACTTGAGGCCAGGAGTTCGAGACCAGCCTGGGCAATACAGCAAGACCCTATCTCTATTAAAAAAGAAAAAAATTAGCTGGGTGTGGTGATGTGTGCCTGTAGTCCCAGCTACTCAGGAGGCTGAGATGGGAGGAACACTTCAGCCTAGGAATTCAAGGTAAGAGTGATCTATGAACAGGCCACTATACAGGCCTGAGTGACAGAGCATGAAAATAAATAAATAAATAATAAATAAATAAATAAATAAAGTCTGTATTGAACATGCACAGACCTTTTCCTTCTCATTATTCCCTAAACAATACAAAACAATTACACAGCATTTATATTATAGTAGGTATAAGTAATCTAGAGATGATTTAAAGTATATGGGAGGATACTGATTGCTTATATGCAAACACTACACCATTTATATAAGGACTTGAGCATCCCAGATTTGGGTATCCTAGGAGGTCCTAGAATCAATTCCCACAGTTCTAAGGGATGACTATACTAGCAAACAGGATCCAGCAACATATAAAAACAACCATACACTATGACCAAGTGGATTTATCCTAGGAAGGCAAGGTTGGTTTAAAATTCAAAATCAACTAATGTAATATACCATATATATCAACAGAATAAAACCAAAAACTCCAGAGCATTTGACAAATCCAAACATTTTCATGATAAAAACATTCAACAAAGTAGGAACAGAAGGAACTTCCTAATCTGATAAAGGTGTCTACAAAATCTCACAGTTAATATCATACTTGATGGGAAAGACAGGACGCTTTCCTCCTAAGATTAGGAATAAGACAAGGATGTCCACTCACACCAAATCAACAACATTCTGGATATTCTAGCTGGAAAAATTAGATAAGAAAAAGAAAAGGTATCCAGGTTGGAAAAGTAAATCCAAGTCTATTCACAGATGAAATGACTATATATAGAAAAATCCTAAAGAATCCACTAAAAAGTGAAAGAATAAATGAGTTCAGCAAGGTTGCAGGATACAAAATAGATAAAAATCAATTGTACTTCTACACTTATAAAGAACAATCCAAAAATGAAATTAGCTGGGCATAGTGGCTTGCACCTATAATCCCAGCTACTTGAGAGCCTAATGACTGCTTGAGGGCAAGCGTTCAGGACCAGCCCAAGGCAATATATCGAGATCTTATCTCTAAAAAAATTTTTTGGCAGGGCATGGTGGCTCATGCCTGTAATCCTAGCACTCTGGAGGCTAAGTGAGAGGACTGCTTGAGGTGAGAGTTCAAGACCAGCCTGAGCAAGAGTGAGACCCCATCTCTACTAAAAAAAAGAAAGAAAAATTGCCAGGCCATGTGCTGCCACCCTGTACCTGTAGTCCCAGCTTCCTGAGAGACTGAAGCAGGAGGAATGCTTGAGCCCAGGAGTTTGAGGTTGCTGTGAGCTATGATGTACCACTACACTCTACCAGGATGACAGTGCGAGACTCTGCCTTGAAAAAAAAAAAAACTTAAAAAAATAAAGTAAATAAAATTTTTAATTAGTTGGTCATGGTAGGGTGCACCCGTAATCCCAGCTGCTCAGGAGAATTGTTTGAGCTCAGGAGTTAAAGGCTGCAGTGAGCAAAGATCATGCCACTACACTCCAGCCTGGGTGACAGAGTGAGACCCTATCTTTTGGGGGGGGATTAAAAAATCAAATCCATTTACAATAGCATAAAAGGACAAATTATTTGGGCTACATTTAACAGAAGAAGTACCAATATATATTCTGAAAACTACAAAACATCGCTGAAAGATTTAAAACTTTCACTTGGTAAAAGACCCTGTTAAGGAGATGAAAAGGTACCGAGTGGAGAAATTATTTGCAACGCATATATCTGACAAAGGACTAACAGCTAGAATGTATAAAGAATTCTCAAAACATAACATAGTTGCCAGAGGCTGAGGGGAAGTTACTGTTTAATGGTTATGGAGTTTCAGTCTGAAGATTAAAAAAAATTCTAGAGATAGATGATGGTGATGGTTGCACAAAAATGTGAATGTCCTTAATGCCACTGAATTTAAAATGGTTAAAATGATAAATTTCATGTTATGAATTTTTAACATAAATAACCTGAATAAAAAAAACAATCCAATTAAAAATATGAAGAGAATTTCACCAACAAAGATATGCAGATGGTAATTAAACAGATGATACTACATTCTGGGCCGGGCATATTGGCCCAAGCCTATAACCCTAGCACTCTGGGAGGCTGAAGAGGCGGAGGATCGCTTGAGGTCAGGAGTTTAAGACCAGCCTGAACAAGAGCGAGACCCCATCCTCTATCAAAAATAGAAAATAGTACAGGTGTCCACCAGCCTGTACTCTCAGCTACTGGAGAGACTAAAGATTGCTTGAGCAGGAGGATAGCTTGAGCCAAGAGTTAGAGGAATGCAAATTAAAAACCACATGAAATATCACTACAAACCTATCAGTATAACTAAATAAAACTATTAACACACTAAATGCTGGTCAGGATTCAGAGAAACTGGATCACTCATATACTGCCGTAGGAATGTAAAACATAGCCATTCTGGAAAATTGGTAATTTCTTCAAACCGAAACATGTACTTACTATATAATCCAGCATTTACATTTATCACAGAGAAATGAAGACTTATGTTGACACAAAACCTGTGCATGTATATTTATAGTAGCTTTATTCCTAATAGCCAAACTGGAAACAATCCAGATATCCTTTAATAGGTGAATGGTTGAACAACTATAGTACATCCAGAAATAAAATACATTCAGCAATAAAACATCAATTCCCAGATCATTAGTTATTACCTGGATGAATCTCCAGAGAACTATGCTGAGTGAAAAAAGCCAGTCCCTTTAGTTACTTATTGTATGATTCAATTTATGTAACTTTATTCTTATTTTTTTCTTTTCTTCTCTTTTCTTTTTGCCAGTCAAATTAACAGTGGGGGGTTTGATACCAACTTTAGTGACACTAATGTTAATAAGTTCTGATAACCCACTACCATCGACAGCCGCTTTAATGCTTTAAATGACAAAATTATAGAAAGGGAAACAGATGAGTGGTTGCCAGGATTAAGAAGAGGTGCAGGTGGAGAAAAGTAGGTGTGTCTATAAATGGCAACATGAGGGATTCTTATGGTGATAGAATATTCTGTATCTTGACTGTATCAATATTCTGATTGTGATGCTGTACTACTGCTTAATAAGACGTTACTGCCGGGAAAAACTGGTAAACAGTGTTGGGATCTGCATTATTTCTTACAAATGCATGTGAATCTACAAGTATCTCAAAATAAAAAAAA